GGAGGGATGAGATCCAGGGAGGGAGGGATGAGGACAGGGAAGGAGGGAGGAGGACAGAGAAGGAGGGATGAGGACAGAGAAGGAGGGGATGAGGACAGGGAGGGAAGGATGAAGACAGGGAAGGAGGGATGAGGACAGGGAAGGAGGGGATGAGGACAGGGAAGGAGGGGATGAGGATCAGAAAGGAGTGAGAGATGAGAACAGGGAAGCAGGGAAGTGATCAGGGAAGCAGGGATGCCAGCAGGACTATCTGGACCGCAAACCTCCCTCGCTGCGTCAGCCCGTTATGCCCGGGGAGGATCCCTGGGGACACTCCCAGCCCCGGGAGGATCCCTGGGGACACTCCCGGCCCCGGGAGGATCCCTGGGGACACTCCCGGCCCCGGGAGGATCCCTGGGGACACTCCCGGCCCCGGGAGGATCCCTGGGGACACTCCCAGCCCCGGGAGGATCCTTGGGGACACTCCCAGCCCCGGGAGGATCCCCGGGGACACTCCCAGCCGCCAGCCCCCTGCCTGGGCCGGGCAGTCCCCGCGGGGCGCTGAGGCCGATCCCGTTCCCAGGTGCAGCATGGTGGAGGTGACGGTGACGCCGCGCTCCTCGCTGGCCGACCGGCCGGTGCAGCTGCGGGTGCGGGGCCTGTCCCCGTCCCAGCTGGTCACCCTGCGCGCCTGGCTCAAGGACGAGCAGGGCGAGCGCTTCCAGTCCCGCGCCTTCTTCCGCGCCGACGGATCGGGAGAGGTGGACCCCGGGAGCCAGGCCGCGCTGGGGGGCAGCTACTCCGGCGTGTGGCCCATGGGGCTCTTCTGGTTCCTGCAGCCCGACACGCTTTTCCGCCGGCTGGTGAAGCGGGACGTGGCCGGGAGCCCCTTCCTGGTGCGGCTGGAAGTGTTCGACGGGGTCCAGCTGGGCGCGGAGCCGCGGGAGCGGCCGCTGGGATGGTGCGAGGCCGAGCGGTGGTACGTGGGGCCCGGAGTGCAGCGGGTGCCCGTCCGCCAGGGAAGGGTCCGAGGGGCCCTGTTCCTGCCTCCTGGTGAGCACCGCGCTGCGGGGAGCCCGGGATGCACGGCCTCGGGACCCCCGGGATGCCCAGCCCTGGAACCCCTGGGATAACGAACAGCAGGACCCCCAGATACTCAGCCTCTGGACCCTTGGGATGCCCAGCCTTGGGATCCCTGGGATATCAGACATCAAGACCCCCAGTTACCCAGCCTTGGGACCCCGGGATACTGAACCTTGGGATCCCAGGATGCCCAGCCTTGGGACCCCGGGATACTGAACCTTGGGATCCCAGGATGCCCAGCCTTGGGAACCCCGGGATACTGAACCTTGGGACCCCTGGGATAACAAAGATCAGGACCCACAGGATGCCAGACCTCAGGACCTCTGGGATACCAAACCTCGGGGACCCCCTGGGATGTCAAACCTCGGGACCCGCAGGATGCCCATTCTCAGGACCTGTGGGACGCCAAAACCTTGGGATCCCCGGGTTGGCAAACCTCAGGACCCCCAGGATGTCCAGCATTGGCACCCCTGGGATAACAAATATTGGGATCCCCAGGATGCCCAACCTCAGAACCCCTGGGATGCCCAGCTTTGGGATCCCTGGGATAACAAACATCAGGACCCAGCCTCGGGACCCATGCGATGCCCAGTCTTGGGATCCCTGGAATGCCCAGCCTCGTGACACCCGGGATACTGAAACTCGTGACCCCCAGGACACCAAACCTCAGGACTCCCGGGATTCCCAGCCTTGCACCCCAGGACGCCCAGCCTTGTAATCCCGAGGATGCAGGACGGTGGCTCCTCATCCCTGACATTCTCCGTCTTCCCGCAGGTCCAGGGCCCTTCCCGGGGGTGATTGACATGTTTGGAGGCGCCGGGGGGCTGATCGAATTCCGGGCGGGACTCCTGGCCAGCCGGGGCTTTGCCGTGCTGGCCCTCGCCTTCTTCGCCTACGACGACCTGCCCCAAGTCCTGGCCCAGTACGACCTGGAATACTTCGAGGAGGCGGTGGATTTCCTTCTCCGGCATCCCAAGGTGAGTCCTGGAGCGTGGAGAGGAGAATCTGTGAGCCGGGATGTCCTGGGGCAGCCTGGGGAGTGGGATGTCCATGTGACCAGGGATGTCCCAGGGATGTCTGGGGGGCCAGGGACGTCCTGGAGACTGGAAACATCCGGGTGAGTGGAATGTCCAAATGAGCAGGGATGTCCCAGTGACCAGGGATGTCCCAGGAATATCCTGGGGACTGGGGGCATCCTGGTGAGCAGGACAGCCAGGGATGTCCAGGTGACCAGGGATGTCCCAGGGATGTCCCAGGATTGTGTTGAACACCAGGGATATCCCAGGGGCTGGTGGCATCTCAGGTGACCAGGGCCATCCCAGTGATTTCCCAGGAATATCCCAGGGATGTCCAGGTGACCAGGGATGTCCCAGGGATGTCCCAGGATTGTGTTGAACACCAGGGATATCCCAGAGGCTGGTGGCATCTCATGTGACCAGGGCCATCCCAGTGATTTCCCAGGACTGTCCCAGCAACCAGGGATGTCCCAGTAATGCCCCAGGGGTTGTCCTGAGCACTGGGAGTATCCCAGGGACCGGGGGCATCCCAGTGAGCGGGATGTCCAGGGGACCAGAGGCATCCCACGAAGACATCCTTGTCCCGGTGCCCAGGGGTGTTCCAGTGATGTCCTGGCAAGCAAGGAACATCCTGGCGACCGGGAACGTCCCAGTGAGGGTGCTCTCCCCACGGCTGGGAACACCCCGGTGCCGTCCCACCCACCTCCCACCTGGCTCCGTGTCCCCCTCTCCAGGTGCGAGGCCCCGGCCTGGGCGTGGTGGGCGTCTCCAAGGGCGCGGAGGTGGCCCTGGCCCTGGCCAGCTTCCTGCCGCAGGTGGTGGCCACGGTGTGGATCAACGGCACGGCCTTTCTGCACGGCAACCCGCTGGTCTACAAGGACCTGCGCATCCCGCCCATCCCCTACCGCGTGGAGCGCGTCCTCCTCACCGAGGAGGGAGCCATGGACAACTCGGCCATCTTCGCCGACCCCCGCGACCCCGCCTTCCGCGCCTCGGCCATCCCGGTGGAGAACGTCCGCGGGAAGGTGCTCTTCGTGGTGGGAGAGGCCGACCGGAGCTTCAACAGCAAGCTCTTCGCCCAGCTGGCCCTGGCGCGGCTGCCCCCGGAGAGCGGGCGGGTCCTGTCGTATCCCGGCGCCGGGCACCTCATCGAGCCGCCCGGGTCCCCCCTGTGCAGCGTCTCCAGCATCCGCGGCTCCCCCCGGCCCGTGGTGTGGGGCGGGGAGCCCCAGCCCCACGCCCGCGCCCAGGAACACTCCTGGCACGAGATCGTCAGGTTCCTGGAGCAGCAGCTGGGCCCGGCCGCCACCGCGAAGCTGTGAGGGAGCGGGAAAGGGGGTCGGGAATAACGGGGTTGGCGCCGAGGGGAATAAAGCGGCACCGGCTGGATCCTGGTTGTGCTTCTGGGGGAGCCGGGTGGGACATATATGGGATGTATATATAGGACATCTGTAGGACATCTATAGGGTGTGTATAGGACATATATACAGGATATATAGAGGACACAGATGGACAGATATATATGGGATATATATGGACATATATATAGGTATAAAGAGG